TTCGCGTATTTATGCGCGTTTCGAATGGGAAAAGGCAGAGCGCGCGCAACTCACGGGGACGCAAGATAATTTCTGATTTACCGCGACCTTCGTCACAGCTTCGTCGCGCGTGCACTTTCAAAATGGAAACGCACCCTCCTCCACTTTCTTCCTCGACCGAGGCTTAGCGCGAATACGTCGCCAGATTTCCAGTCCGACGACGACAACGACAACGACAACGACGACGACGACGAGGAGGAGAAAGGGGGGAAGCGATTGAAAAATTCAACGCGCGGTCAAACGGCGTTTCAGCGGCCCCCCGTGAAGGCTGAGTCGCGACGCGATCAAGACTGTCGGTTTCTCGCCGCGCGCCACCGTCCGGCGGCGGGCCACCGCCGTGTTTTGCCTCGTTACATTATTACGCGAAACTCCCTGCGGGAATATCCGAGCGAAAGTTTGCGGTCGAGAATCGCCGCCTTTGTGCCGTCGTTCCGCTGAATCTTTCACCAGCAGCCGTTTCGCCCGCCGGAGCCACGCGTTTACATCTTTCAACGACCGCGGTTCTCTCCTTTCAAAGAGCAATGCAACGTGGGCGCGTTACTCGTTACCCGTTACCCGTTTCGCGGATCGAGAGCCGATCGAAACGCAACACGGCTTTCAGCAAGCTCGTCAGCAAACTGGCGGGAAAGAGCAAGGTGAAGGGAAGATTTGCGTATTCCGAGTATTGCCATTATACACCGAGAGAGAGAGAGAGAGAGATTTCCTAGGAAGGCAATTCTCGAAATATTTCAAACACGTATCATCATATACACTCGGCTATTACGCGTCCCCTATTACGAAACGAGCCCCGTGTCTGCGAATCGGGACACTGTCGCTGTTCGCAGACTCGTTCGACTTTCCACTTGCTTCTGTTGCTTCTTTCCTTCCTTCCGTCTGTCCGTTCGTTCGTTCGTTCGTTCGTCCGCACGACGAAATTACAACCCGTTGGTCGCCCTCGCAGGGTACCTACCAATTTCTTCCGGCTCCGTCCTCGCCTCGAGAAGCCGATACCTTTGCAAAAACTAACTCTCGGCAATCGCCTCGAGCAACACACACACGCGTACGTACGTACGCACGCACGCACGCACGCAGTGGATCGCGTGCGGCCAACCGAGAAGAAAC